TTATAGCCTGAAACTTTACTATACAAGTCTATTGTTTCTAGGAGTTTTTTGGTGGAGGTTATTGGGTTCTCTAAGTATAGTATCATATCATCTGCGAATAGTGAGAGCTTGATTTCTTCCTTTCCTACCTGAATGCCCTTAATATCTTTTTCTTGCCTAATCGCTATTGCAAGTACTTCCAGTACTATATTGAACAGCAGTGGAGAGAGTGGGCATCCTTGTGAGAGGCATATTTTTATATATTTCTCTCTATGATTTGTTGCCTACTGTCTGACCCCCATCAGATATGGTGTGGCAATTATGGAGAATGGGTAAAAAGTGTCCTATAATGTATCCGGAAAGTGGCCTGGAGCGTGGTGGTGTTTGTGTAGTGGAGGTCAGCTGCCCAGGCTGAGTCCCTTGGGGTAGGGAGAGCTCTCACCTGCCCCTCTCTGGGGCACCCTGAGTGAAAACAGTCTGGCACGGAGTCTGGTGGCATGGTTATGGGGGCCTTTTATACTCCTGTCTGGAAGGAGCAGCTGTGAGTTCTGGAGGGTGGCTGATGAGGAGATTATCTGGTGCCGGCAGTGTGTGGCTTATCAGTGTGATCCCTGGGTCACCAGAGACTGCAGAGGATCTCTGTTCCCCAGAGCTGTTGAGTCCAGATTCCAAGGTCACAAAGTTCCACATTACCTGGGTTCCATGAGACTTCATGCGTGAGGCTCAGCCCAAGCACCCGGAAAGCAGCCTGGAGCATGGTGGTGGTTGGGTAGTGGAGATCGGCTGCCAGGGATGGGTCCCTTGGGGCAGGGAGGACTCTCGTGGTATATTAAACATGCCAAAACCTGTAGTGACAACAGGTCTCATTCCCCTGACCCTGCCTGAAAGAGCCTCCAATCGTTGAGAAAAGATGAGTAAGAAGAGGCTGCTAAAATCTCAGGGCTGGAAAAAATATCTCTGGGCTGGGAGGAATAGACACTACTGGTGCCTGCTCAAGTAAATTGATGAACACGGGATGACAGTGATACAGTGAACCTATATGTTGCTCTCTAACACTACCAGTAATAATTTCTGACTGAAAAGCCAGGAATAACTCCTGAGTATTCACTGGGTGTTCCCCCAATAACTCCAAAATAGAAAGGTATTGGTATTTTCCTTCAGGAGTAAATCTGAAATAAATTCGACAAACATGCCTCATAATCTCTTGTTCAATATTTATCATCTGTACAAGAGCTTTTCAAAGTTCAAACCTGAACTCCCCAATTGCTCACCATAATTCATAAATCTCTAAGACTTGCCATTATCATCTGTAAATGGAAAGAATCCTAATTTCTATGTGGAATGACTATTATCAATCATGTAAAGTACTTAAAATACTGTGTTCTAATAGGCTCAAAACAATGTGAGATAATATTGAGCTTAAATTAAAAAGGTTTCCTTTACATTCTTCAAAAATATTCAAAATCAAAAATATTCATGTCACTGACCACTCTTCTTATAATATCAAAGACTAAAATACCCTGTTCCTTTTTTTGTTCCTATACAGATACACAATTATTGTTTAAAGGATTTTTGTTCTTTTTTGTTTTTTTGTGATTTTTCTTTTTATTACGTTCTAGGTATTAGGATAGCTAATGGAATAGGTTTTGTCATTTAGACCAGTGATTTTTCAAAAAACAATTCTCAGACAGACTGGTGCCACTGGAACTGAAGAGATAGTACAGCAGGTAGGCCATTTGCCTTGCACATGGTCAACTCAGGTTCAATCTCCAGAATCCCGTATAGTCTCCTAAGCCCACCAGGAGTGATCCTTGAGTGAAGAGCCTGGAATAAGTCCTGAGATTCTCAGGACTTTATTTTTTATTTTACAAAAAATAAAAGATGTACCACTTAACAGTTGGATCATAGAGCTACACTATATGAATATTCTTATGAATATTTAAAAATTTCTGCCTTAGAGACACAAACTAGATTTCTATTTTATTGGTCTAGTATATTCAAAGGTTGAAGACCACTGTGTTAGGCGATTTTCAGGTGATTGGGACCATGATTCCAGTCACTTCTCTTAGGCAGACCACCTTGTGTCTTCTTTAGGAGGGGGTATTTAGTGGTCCTTCTTTGAGCCCTCCTAGCACACAGAGCTCTTCTCTCATGTCTTCATTTCTGGTGCATGGTTGTGTCTGTGTCATCAGACTATAAGTACCTGGGGGTTGTGTACTATGTCTCAGGAATCTGTGAAGATCCAAGTGATAATAAGAAAATTGCTCACCTAACCTCAACCCTAAATTGAAGGAGGAAGAAATGATTTCTCCAAGGCAAATACTGCCACTGTGTAGCAGGGAATAGACACTGGTAGTGCTCAGTGAGCTCATAGTCTAGATACATAAGATAGAAATTTAAATTCACTTTAAAAAAGAGCTGGTGGAGATATTCATGAGGTATAACAGGCTTCTAGAGACAGCAGGTAAGGGCCAAAGAGGAGGTAGAAGAATCAAGGAGGGCTTTTTGAAGTTTCAGTTGTGTTAAGCCAGAATAGATATTACATGAGTAGTTACTAGTGGAATGACTCCTTGAATATATACGAACTCACATAACTTGTACCTTCACAAGTCAAGACTAATGATCTTTGCAGTTTGTCAAATTACAAATGTTTACTGAATTCCACAAAAATCAGAGAAAAGTAAAACAGAGATACACTTTAGAAGAATGACTATTCAATAAAAACTACAGTGGCTTATTTAATTCACAGTTTTCACAAAATACTGTGCATTTGCAGTGACGCTATTCACAACTGCTGTTTTGCTTTGCCAGTCTTTAGTATTCTGACTACATTATAGATTAAGCATGTTTTGTTAACTGACTTAGAATTTACTCATAGTATAAATAGCAAAAATAAATACTTTCAAAGTATCAACCCATTACAAGTTCTATTTAGTTATTTAACTTGAAAAATAAAGCTTTTTCCAAAATACAGAAAGAGCCCACAGAATGAAAAGAATATTCACCCAATACCCATCTGATAAGGGATTAATATCCATGATATACAAGACACTAGTAGAATTGTACAAGAAAAAACCTCCAATCCCATCAAAAAATGGGGAGAAGAAATGAACAGAAGTTTCCTCAAAAAAGAAATACAAATGGCCAAAAGGCACATAAAAATGCTCCACAACGCTAGCCATCAGGGAGATCCAAATCAAAACAACAATGAGATATCATCTCACACCAGAGAGACTGGCACACATTCAAAAGAACAAAAGCAACCAGTGCTGGCGTGGATGTGGTGGAAAAAGGGACACTCTTTCACTGTTGGTGGGAATGCCCACTAGTCAAGCCTTTCTGGAAAACAATATGGACAGTTCTTCAAAGAAATTGAGCTTCGATATGACCCCACAATACCTCTTCTGGTAATATATACCAAGGATGCAAAAAAGCACAGTATAAATGACATTTGTACCTGTGTGTTCACTGCAGCACTGTTTACAATAGCCAAAATCTGGAAACAACCCAAGTACCCTAGAATAGATGACTGGTTAAAGAAACTTTGGTACATCTCCACAATGGAATACTATGCAGCTATCAGGAGAGATGAAGTCATGAACTTTGCTTATAAATGGATAGACATGGAGAGTATCATGCTAAGTGAAATGAGTCAGAAAGAGAGGGACAGACACAGAAGCACTGCACTCATTTGTGGAGTATAAAACAACATAACATGAGGCTGACACCTAAGGACAGTGGATACACGAGACAGATAGATTGCCCCATAGCTGGAAGCCTGCCTCATGAGCAAAGAGGTGAAGGCAGCTGAAATAGAGAAGGGATCGCTAGGAAAAAGATGACTGGAGGAATTGGTTGGGATGGGAGATGTGTGCAGAAAGTAGATAAAGGATCAGACATGGTAACCTCTCAGGGTCTGTATTGCAAACCATAATGACCAAAAGTAGAGAGAGATTATAGGGAATCATGTCTGCCATGGAGGCAGGGGAGGGTGGGAATATCGGGGATATTGGTGATGGGGAATGTGCACTGGTGGAGGGATGGGTGTTTGATCATTGTGTTATTGTAACCCAAACATGAAAGCTTATAACTATCTCACGGTGATTCAATAGAATTTTTAAAAAAGAGAAGAAAAATAAAGCTTTTGAAGAACTTCACAAAAATTAAATCGAAGCCTATTTATACTTTATTTAACCCTTTTTGTGCCATTCTTTAAGCCAACTTTGATTTCTTTTAGATGACTAGAATAGTATTCAGTTTATTGGTCTAATTCTGTTCTCCATAGTTGCTGAAGAATATGCAGACATTTTCACAGCACTAACATAGTTCATTGGTAGCAATAGTGCAAGGATAAATAATTCATGATCTCTCTCTGACTCGCTCTCTCTTTCTCTGTCTCTCTGTCTCTTTTTTTCTCTCTCTCTTTTACAAAGTCCCATATATAAAGTTGCTGCAATTCTCTTTCTCTGGCTCATTTCCAATGAAACATTATGTTCTGACTAGATGCAGCTTTTAAAATCTTAACTGCAGTATCATAGCTCTGCAACCTTGGGCAAATATAATCATTTCTCTCAATCTTGACCTTCTCATATGCAGAATTCTCACAAGTTTGTTGTGTTGATTAAATGAACTGATGTGTGAAAGCTCTTTGTGAATTATAAGACACTCCACAAATTTCAGGCATTATTATTAGCATTAGCCTAACCAAAGTTCGATTCTGAAATCAGCATAAATTCTACAGGCTCTGTTCAACATTAAAATAAAAAGAAGTCTGAAACTTTACATAGAATAATTATTTATTTTTAAATGATAGAGCTGATTATTTGTAGAAAGTAAATGAATGACTGCCTTGTATCGCATTTGATAATTTTCTTCAAATGACAAATTGCTTGCACAGATACATGTTTGCAAACTTGTGTGTGTGAGTGCATATATGGAATAGAATTTTCAGTATGATTTTATTCTAAAACTATTTATTCAGTAATGATGTCTAATTAATTTTTTTCCTTTTATTCTATTAGAATTCAGTTTGTGGCGAGAAGTCTCCTTTCAAGCAATTCTGCTTGTTGCATGCTTAATCATTTCTACGTGTGCAAGGTAACTCAGATAATATTTATCTATTTATTCTTTCAGGTACTACATGCAGTAGTTCTCAGGGTATTATGTCTGAAGTCAATCCCAGCAATGCTTGGCCTGGTGGAATGTTTCCAAGAAATCATCAGCACCACACCTGTCAGTGCCATGGGGGCAGGGGCACTGCTCAGGCTCCCCTGAGAAAACCCTCATGTTGGGTTTATGAGTTCCCACTTGCGGTATCTCAGTCAGATTCAGGCTTTATTTTTATGCAGTTGTGTTTCATAATTAATGAAGCTACAATTGATTAATTTTCTTGACTTATTCCCCAAAGTGTTTTAGGTAACTCTGTGGTTAAGATTTGTTCATTTGCTTATCCATAGTAATTGAACAAATTTAGCAATTGCATCCTTCTCCTCACAATCTCTCAAAGCACATACAAGCCAGAGCATTTTGCTAGTGATTGGAGTTTACTACATGTCCTGCTTTGCTTAATTCTTCAGTGACTCCCTGTTAGAGAGGTTCTCAGTATGCCTGAAGTCCAAGAACAATTCGAAATCTTCAGTGGGGAATTTGGACTCTCTGCTGGGACTTTCCCATCTTTCCCACTCTATTTTTAGACCCTTCTTTAAAGTGTTTATTGTCTGGTAGCCTGATATCAGAGCACAAAATGCTCTTCTCTGATTATAGACATGTTTCTGCTCAACTCTCTGCCCAATCTTTCTGCCTCTTCTTTCACTTTTATTTTGGGGAGAGGGGGTGGGATGGGAGAAGGGGACCAATGTCCAGCAATGCTCAGGGTTCACTCCTGGCTCTATGCTCAGGAATTACCCCTATCAGTACTCAGTGGACCATATGAGATGCCAGGAATCAAACTGGGTCAAATGTACTCAAGGCCAGCACCCTTCCTGTCTTTCGTTGCTCAGGCATCCAGGACAGTTATCAAATCCCTTCAGTGCTAAGCTCACTGTTTCCTCAGTGTCTTTGCAGTTGTTGCTTACTCTGCCCAGCATAATGTTTTAGATAAACGGTCCTAATATGTGCCTTTACTTATGTCTGGAATCTCTTCAACTATCGCATCAACAGAGAAATCATCTATGATAACCCCTGTCTATAAATAGCATTCCCTGTCTAGCACACATGTCTTGGGGATTCTTCTCTAGAGCACTTACCCCACCTGAACCATTATAAGTTCTTTTATTGAAATGTTGATGATCTAACCCTGTATGAATAAAATATCCCTAGGAGCAGAGACATTATGTCTCCTTCACTTCTGTAGCACAGTGCCAGAGACTCACGTATTTGTTGAATTAGTGAAACGGGGATAAATGAAGTAGTCCTGTATCTTTTTTGGTGCTCATTCTTGGGTCAGAAAAAGTTACTTGCTCCGAAACTCTTGAATTGGTATTCTCTATCAAGGATCCAAAGGCTTCGTGTAGGAGTGGTGTTTTAAATACGAAGTCCTGGGTTTCGTTCCTTGAGATGTATTAGATCTAGTGTGAATCAGTAATTTAAAATATGCTTCACAGATAATTATTAGTTTTTAAAAGTATTTTTAAACCAGAGAGACTGAAAGAACAAAAGAGAAAAAAGGGGGAGATTCTGTAATTATGTTAAAATCTCAACTACCAGTGAGAGCTACAAACTAATTATAGTAGTAATTAACTACTATATCACTAGACTTATGACTTAGTTTCAGTAGCTGATGTTAGCCTCCAAACGAAATTAAGAAGAGCCAATTGGACATCATGATATTTTGTCAAGCTTCTTTCAACTGTATATAGTAAGTGGCTGAGGTCCAAGTAACTGGTAATTTTCACATAAAAATATACAATGGTTTTCGTCTAAATAAACTTAACATCTGCATAAAAATGTGCAAAATCCTGTATTACATACCCAAATACAAAGGATCACAATATACATTAGCATAATAAGGGCCCAGTGGAATGATGTAGTGAGGAAACAAGTTTACTTTATTTAATTATTTGGGGAGTAGGAGGCTTGGAATCACACCCCGTGGTTCTCAGGGATTACTCTTGACTCTGTGCTCAGGGATATCTCCTTGGGGGTGTGCATGGAAGACCATATGCTGCAGCTAGAATCAAACTGGGGTTAAGCACATACAAGACTAGTGCCTTACCTCCTGGACTGTTTGCCCCTAAGAAAAGTTTTTGGAAAGGTTTTTTAAAAGATTATTTATCATATTTTTAAACGACTTCAGCTGAGTAAGATTTTCTACTTTTATTTATTACCTCTATTCTTATTTTCAAAACAAAAATAATAATTGTATTAATATTTTCAAAATTTTCACTCTGTGATATATTAAGCCATAAGAACAGCAAAAATCCAAATGTTTAATTTTTTCCCCTGCAATTTTATAAGCAATAGGCCAGATTTTTCTTTAGTATAAACAGTTTAAAATCCCTAAATAGGGCAATTGGATGCATTCTACCAAAATAAAATTGCATGTCCTCTTTGACAGTTCCTAAAAATCATGCTATGCATGCTTAAGTACATGTGTGAAATAACATTCATAAGGCCACTCAAATACATTTAAAATGTTTAGTTTTAATGATTTTTTAAAAAATGTAATCTTAATTCTGTGACTTTTGGTATAGTCCAAGGATTCTGAAGTTATAACTACTATTTTGAGAATAATTTCATCACCAAAAAGATAATTTCATCATTGTAAACATTACCAGTTATGCCCACACCCACATCCCTCTTACCTCGGGAACTTTCCAATTTACTTGTTATTTCTGTGACCTTTGATATGTGGCTTCAATTGCTTAGTATAATGTTTACAAGGTTCATCCATAGTGCAGCATGGATCACTGTTATATTCCTTTTTATGTCTGAATAATATGCCATTGATAAATTTTGCATAGTTAGCAGTTGATGGACATTGTTCTGTTTACCCATTAACTGAATAGTATTCCTACGTACATCTTTTTGGCTTGGGCATATGCTTTTATTTTTCATGGATAAATAATTAGAAATGAAATTTCTGGACAGAAGACAGATGTTTAAAAGGATATCTCATGTATTAGAAATGTAGAATTTGCTAATCCTGAGCAACCCTGTCATTTCAGATGGTTTCTGGGAGGAATATTAGCTAATGTCTTCACATGCTCTTTGATGATAACTATTGTTTGTAAGTAGTGATTTCTCAAGTTATTGCTCTTATTTCTGTGTTTGTTCCAATTTTAGTTATTTTTAAATAATTAAAAATATTTTCTCTTTCCTATCCAAGGTGTTGTCAAATCATTGTTTCATAACCTTGTCAGCCATTTCAAACTTTCCTCCTGTGTTCAGTAAGTATTGCTAATATTATCATTGTCAGGACAAAAATGACAATTATTTGACAATTGAGAATGAGTAATAGATGTCATCTATTCTGCTGAGTAATAGATGACAATGACTAAACACAAGAAAGATACTGATCATTTGTCCTCAAGACTATCTTTCATTACAGTAAGAATCAAATATCAAATAGTAATATTATTCTGTCTCCTAAATCCTGACATCATACCAGAAAAGATTAATTTCTAAAGCAGAATAACAGAAAATGATATAAATTTAATTTTTTACATATTTTAGAGACTCATGGAACTGAATTTCAAAAGTGTCTCCTATTAGAAGGCTTTTAACTCACAATTTTCCAAATAACTGGCAAGCTGTCTGTGAAATGATCTCAGTTACAAACTGTAATTCCTTTCCCATCTCTCTCTCTCTTAACCATCCTTTGGTGTCCTGAACTGCCATGCTTCAGAACAATTCAAAGGGCTACTGGGGTCTGGGTGAGACACTGACAGAATTTCTAATTTCTAATGGCCTGCAGAGCACCTTCTCCTTGCAAGATAGATTGTGTTAATTATCTTCACTTCAATATGTTTGCCAGAGGCCAGCTTCCATAGCTTGGAGACTAAGGCCCATAATTCAAATTCAGTTGCGGCCCTTTGCTCTTGAAATGGTTGCTCTATTTATAAAATTGTGTTAATTCAAATATCGCAGTGGGGTTTAGTGTAGATTTATTTTGTGTATGGCTCCAGCCGGTATTGATTTACTGACACTGTGAGTGATGCTTCCTTTAATTTCCAAGGGTAGTGTGTGTGTGTGTGTGTGTGTGTGTGTGTGTGTGTGTGTGTGTGTGCGCGCGCGCGCGCGCGCGCGCGCGCACGCGCACGCATGCGCTCAAGCAGAGATAGGAGTGTGGGGGTCACATAAGGGGAAAATGGACTGATATTGCAACGTTTTATTTAATGTCAGAGAAAAAGATTGGGTCCTACAATCACTGGAGGCATTTCATTCTTTAGCACTTGCAAATTAATGCTGCTGTCTCTCCTCCTTTTACCCAGAAGTCATGACCAGGTCTGGGCAGAGACACTGACATGTACCTCACCCAACCTTAAGTACAGCTTTCCATGTATCAACAGCTTTTTGAGCTGGGTTGTTGCACAAGTCAAGACAGGACTAAACGATAATGAATAAAAGATTTTCATAGAGTTACTTTGTAACTCACTTTCAGAAGTGGAACATACATTTTTGTTGTAAATCTCTTCTTTTGGGTTTTAGGATAAATATATACAATTACCCTGAAGGACTAGTATCATCTTGTTAGGAAGCTCTACAGTGAAGGCAGAATTTCTCAAAATGTGGCATGGGAACTATTTGCTTTCAAATCAACTAAGAGATTATTTTTAAAATGAACAAAATATCCCGCAGATTTTGTGTTTGTCTTGCAAAAAGCTAACCCTGGTTCAACCCCCAGAACACCATATGGTCTCTGGAGCACTTAAAGAAACGATCCCTGAGAACAGAGTCAGGAGTAAACCCTGAACACTGCAAGTGTGCATCCCAAATCGCACAAAACAAGCAGCATTATGGATTTTTATGCCAATTCTTTTGAATAAAAAATTCTTAGACTTTTTCTTTTTTTCTATTATCTCTCCAGGAAATTCTTTGCACATTAAAAATGAGAATGTTGGAAAGAATTTGTGAAAACTTTACTCCTTGATTTATAAAGTGAAATCACTTTAGAATTGAGTTTATTAAGAGATTAAATCTACTAAATCAACTAATTCACCTAATACATGAAATCTTTGTTAAAAATGTGTGTTGTCAACTCCCAAAAGGAGAGAGAGAACAGAGGGGAATGCCCTGCCACAGAGCCAGGGTGGGATGGAGGGGATGGGGGGTGGGAGGAATATTGGGATGCATGGTGGTGGGAAGTGGGCACTGGTGGAGGGATGGTATTTGATCATTATATAATTGAAACCCAAGCACAAAAATGTGTAAGTCTGCAACTGTACCTCATGATGTCTCACTATTTAAAAAAAATTTTAATAAAAAAAAAGTGTGTTGTTCCAGTGGCAGTTCCACTTGGCATGTGGAAAGTGCAAGCTGGAATTTATACCGGCTATGAAAACACCAACAATGAGTTTGTACTGTCTAGAGAGAATGGGAAGGGGAAAGGGATGAACCAGTAACTGATTTCCAGGTTAAGTAACTATGGCTTTCAAGGCTCCTCCCCTAACTGAGTTTTTTCTTTGTTCTTTCTTAAAAGATACTAAGGCAGGACCCAAATGATAGTTCTGTTCCCTCCACACACTCTCACCTATAACCCTATTAATAGAATAATGATTATAACTCACTTTATTTTATTGTATATACACTTTATTTTGTTCTTCGTCAGGGGAGGCAGTGATTCCAAGCAGTATGCAGTAGGACCAGAGATAACTGGTAATACTCAGCTGGGCTGGACAGTTCAATGCAAGGACTTAGGGACCCAGTGCAGTTGAGACCCAACAGTGCTGTGGGCTACCAGGATCACACTGGTGGTGTTGGGGGCCGTGCAATGCACGCATGGTTGATCCTTGAACTATTTCTCCAGCCCCTTTTAACTTGTTCCTATCTCAATCCTTGTTCATTTTTTTTTCTGACCCGCATACTCTTGCAGTTAAGATCTTGAAACCAAGGGCTATTGAATTTTACTTTTTAATCCATCACATCCTCATAGTAGATACTCCATAAATATTCACTAAATTGAATATATTTGTCCTATCTTTGCTTAAAGTCCTTCCTTTATAGCAAATAACTCTGCCTGAATGTTAAAGAGGTTGCACTGGAGTGGAGCGATGTGTTTAGGGCCCTTGCCTTCCATGTAGCCAATCTGGGTTTGATCCCTAGCATTTCACATGATCCCCCAAGCGTGTCCAGGAGTTATTCCTGAGCACAGAGCCAGGAGTAAACTCTGGGCACACGGGGTGTTGCCCAAAAATAAAAAAAAAGGAAACAAACACAAAAAATGTTGCAGTCCCCTCCAAATGAAGGTGACCACAGGTATCCCATACTGGCTATAATGTGTTAACCTTACAGTGTACATTTTGGTGAGTTTATATAGTTGGTGAATGAAAGAACAAACTTTAGGGACTGAAAATTTGAAAGAAACTCAGTTACCTTATAGGAATTTTTACGTCAGAATTAGTGTTATAGATGGGAGAGAAAGCAGTAGGAAGTGAAGTTAACTAAATACTTAGCTTGGATTGGGGGCAAATGTTGGCAAAGATTGTTGTTCTGGTAGAGGTTCCACTTTCCTAGTTATGATTATTCAAGCATTGTGTGTATGTGTGTGTGAACATACACAGTGATGTGAGTAGATACTGCTTTTCCTGTGTATATATGAATTATGCATTTTTTCTTCTTTTACAGATCTGGGTTTGCCAAAATTTGACAACCATTTAGGAATGTCTCTGATGAAAGTCTCCAATCTCAATATCTAAAAATTGTGAATTACAGTCTGTTTGGAATCAACTACTTCCTTGGATGGGAGGGAGAAAAGGGATAATTGAGAAAAAAGGAAGCATATAATTAGATTATGTGATTTAAAAAAATCTTAGTTTTTCTCTTCAAAATTGTAATGTGTTCATGGAAATAATATTAATGTGTCTTTTATTTTCAAACACTGGCGGTAGGAAAAAATAATTGGGGAACATTATACAGAAAAAATGGAATAAATGTTCCTCTATAATTCCCTAAGGAAATGCTTCTCAAATATTAATTTTCATTGGAGAATTCCATGTAAAGCTTAAAAAACTGCAAATTCTCAAGACTTCCTGTGGGATCTGTCTCTTGCTGAATTGAAAGGCTTTAGTTGAAAGTTGAACTGTGAAAGAAAATTTACAATAATCAACATTCACTTCAAAGTAGTTAAATGCAGCTTGTACATAGAATAGAATGTAGGGAAAAGTTGCCAGGAATCCTTAAGGAAGTTGTTTAATGACAGATAGATGAAGGTCAATGAAAAATTCGCCAGAAAGAGACATTTCTTATATGGAACATTGTTCTTATATTCTATAGTTCTATAGTACAAACATTGTTCTATAGTATAAAATCCCATTGTTCTTTTTGTAGTTCTTTTTTATAAAACTTTGGTCAGCTGCATGCAAGATAAACACCTTACCTGTTGTACTCTCTCTCATGCCTCAATCTTTTGAAGCATTTTTAAAAATCAAGCTTTCAAACCATTTGTGACTCATAATTACTTCTTATTCAAAATGCAATTAAAATAAATGCATAAGCAAACCAAAAAATGGCAGTGAGTTCAAAGTAAAGGTAGAAGACTAGGGAGCTTTGAAGCACATTTAAAAATGCTGCGGTGATATCATCAAACAAGATGCAAAAGGCACTTCTGTAACTTTGTATATAGTTTAAAAGACCTATATGTATTATAAATGTAGCCTGAAATTCCAATGTTTTTCTCTATGACATTCACTGACTAGAAAGTTACATTGAAAATGTTTTCTACTTTAAACAATAAGGTTAAAATCTCATTGTTAACATCATTTCTATTTAATTCATTTTGTATTAAAAAGTATTATACTAATGTGGTATTATAATGTACAATAAGAAATATATATTAGGTTCTTATCACTTGTTCTAGAACAAAGATTATAAAACAAGAGGAAGTTTTTAAGTGAAGATAGTTATATATTTTGTAGTGGCAGAGAACCACACCCAACAGTGCTCAGGGCTTACTTGTCCCTCTGTGCTCAGGAATCATTGCTGATGGTGTGACCTTACTCAGAGGACCAAATGCAGTGCCACAGATAGAACCAAAAAGTGTCTTTTGCAAGGTTACTTACTAAAGTACCTTTTAGAAAGCATCTAGGAATAGGGGCCAGTTGGGAGGAGAACAACCAGTTGATTAGAGTCTTAAAACTGGAATTCAATCTCATATCCTCCCTCTAGCTCTGACTGCATCAATTGTTAATGGTCAGTGATTTTTGTCAACTTTGCCTGTATAATGGTTCTTTTATAAAAATCTGAAGGGTGGGACACAGGACAGTCCTTGGGAACATGGATGTGTTTGGTGGTGCCCACTGAGGGTCCAAAAGCACTTTCCCATTCCCAAATACCACATTCTATATAACTCCTTTCTGATGCCCCTATATCTTTTATTACATCCCTTAATAATAAACTAATGAACAAAAATCAACTGTTTCTTGTCTTCTGTGCACTTTCCAGCAAATTGATAGGACTGAAGGAAGAGTCATGGGGTCCTTTAATCTGTAATCAACTCTGATAGTTGTGAGTGATGGGCATTTTGCAGACATGGAATGGGTAACCACTTATGGGTAACCTGTGACATAGAATCTCTCCATTTATTTAGTTTTGCTTAGATAATTGCTCATCAGAGTTTGTAGCTATCTTCTCATAGTTCCTGAACATAGTTTTAATAATTATATCTATGTATTTTATTTCTTTTAGAAATAATGTAACTAGTGTTATGCTTTATATTTCATTTGTTCATTGTTGGGATGTCAAAAAATTGACTTTTATGTATTAACCTATATCTTACAACATTGTTGTCATTTCTTATTAGTTGAAGATGATATTTTGGCTTTTTTTATTCGCATTTTTACACGGACAACTCGATAACTTGGGAACAAAGGCTCTTTTATAACTTCATTCCAAAACCATGATGTTATTTTATTTTATTATTTTATTTAGCACAGCGGGTAGGGCGTTCGCCTTACACGCGGCCAACATGGCCGACCCGAGTTCGATTCCTCCGCCCCTCTTGGAGAGCCCGGCAAGCTACCGAGAGTATTCGATATGCCAGACACAGTAACAACAAAGTCTCCAATGGAGACGTTACTGGGCCCGCTCGAGCAAATCGACGATCAACGGGAGGGCCTTTACCTTTACCTTTTATTTTATTTTATTTTATTTTTTGCTTTTTGGGTCAACCTGGCTATGCACAGGGGTTACTCCTGGCTCTGCACTCAGGAGTTACTCCTGGCGGTGGTCAGGGGACCATATGACATGCTGGGAATCGAACCCAGGTCGTCCACGTGCAAGGCAAATGCCCTACCCGCTGTGCTATCTCTCCATCCCCCCATGATGTTATTTTAGATCATTTTCTATGTGTGAAAAAGTATATATCAATAAAAAAAACCTGCTCAAGGCAGAGCTCCTTTGCACTTCACTAAGATACTGAAAAAATTAGGAAAGTAAATTATAGAGTAGAGAAAATTTCTTTTTTTTTTCTTTCTGTAAGATTCTTTTTTTTTTTTTATAATTTATTTATTTATTAAATCACTGTGGGAAAAGTTACAGAGCTTTCGGGTTTAGGTCTCAGTCATGTAGATACCGAACACATTTCCCTTTACCAATACTCATTTTTAACCCCGAACCCCAATAGACCCCCACCTCCCACCCCTCCAAATTCTTGTGAGGCAGATGAGTTCTAGTTAATACTCTATCTACTTTGACTAGATAGATTATTTCGATAGAAGATGCACAATTATTGTTTAGAGTTTACGACCCCCCCCCAATCAGACATGCTGAAACAGCGTTGTGAAATGATTTGCTTTCTACAACTTGGTTTAAGAATAAAATGATGTCGCGAAGGCCGCGATAGCGGCCGCGCGGTTTTGAATTTCTGCTATTTTACTTATTGACCCTGGAAGAATTTCTATTAAAAGTTAGCTAGTTAAGAGATTGGTTTCTGTGCCCTGGAGTCGTGGCCGTGCCAGAGAGCCGCTCGTGGGGGGCAGCTGGCGACCTCGGTGGGGCGTGGGGGACGGCCCACAAAGCCCCCCTTCCCATGAGGTCCCTGCCGCTCCCCCGAGCCCGGCTCAAACCTGCTTTCCACAAGGCTCCCGTGCGGCCGCCATCTTTCTTTCCAGAGAGGAGCGGGCGGGCTGGTCAACGCCCTTCCCCCTCCGGGCAGGCTTGGTGGCGCGGATCAACACAAGTCCATTTGCTTTTCTGCTCCGAGCGGCTGGTTCTCTGTGCTAAGTCCTTGTGCCTCCGGGGCCGTGGCCGTGCCGGAGAGCCGCTCGTGGGGGGCAGCTGGCGACCTCGGTGGGGCGTGGGGGACGGCCCACAAAGCCCCCCTTCCCATGAGGTCCCCGCCGCTCCCCCGAGCCCGGCTCAAACCTGCTTTCCACAAGGCTCCCGTGCGGCCGCCATATTTCTTTCCAGAGAGGAGCGGGCGGGCTAGAGTAGAGAAAATTTCTTAAGGAAGAATTTTTTAATTCAACAAACAATTTACTATTTTGAAAACATACTACTTGATAGAACTGATTGTGTATGAGGTATTTTTAGATTTAATACCAGCCCTCAATAACTGTTCCCTAATAGGGGAAGCAACCATTACATGAAGTCAGAGGATGAGTACCATATGGTCAATATGGATAAAAAGATAGAGTTAGTTTACAGAGAAAAGGGGATCCCCTAATATAAGCCAGGTTAAAATGGCATCTATTTCTCATTCATTACTTGCTAAAATGTGATTCAGTACATGAAAGATTCAATATTTGTTGAGTGAACCAGATTAAATTTTTAATTATGTTATATTTAAAATTTTTTATTACAGATGTTATTTTTTGATTTGGGAAGTATGAATTATTTATGCATATATCTTCATTCCTTTTTGGTTTTGGTCCTCACCAGGCAGAGTTCAGGGTTTGCTTCTGACTCTATACTCATAATTAGTACTGAGAATGGTATTAAGGAAGGGGCAAGTGCCTTGAAAACAAATACTCTTTCCAGAAATATTAACTCACAACAAAGTTACTACAATGCAAAAGATTAAATGAAGAGCTGAAAGGGTAGCACAGGAATTCAGGCTGTATGCATTGCATGTACGTGACCCAGATTTGATCCCAGCACTAGATGTACCCCTAAACGTCAATGGGTATACCCTGAAGCCCCCAAGATTCCCCACGTACTGATTGACTAAATATTGTCAGGAGAGTCACACTTTCTACAGAAAATAATGTCACCCTTATGGTTTTCCTTGTATTCCAGGTTTTCAAATCTATTTTCTTGGAGATTTCACATAAAAAGATGTGATAGTCTCCTATTTTGTTACTTTATGTTCCCCAGATGAATGCAATCTTTATAAGTCTGTCCCTCTCTTTCTGACTCATTTCGTTTAGCATGATACTTTCCATGTAGTATCACTTGTATGTATATTTCATGACTTTATCCTTTCTAACAGCTACATAGTACTCCATTGTAGGGGTAAAAGCAGCTCAGATAGAGAAGAGAGCACCAAATAAATGGTATTGGAAAGATCTGCCCAGGATGGGAGATGCGTGCTGAAAGTAGACTATAGACAAAACATGATTGCCACTCAATGCCTCTTTTGCAAACCACAGCACCTAAAAGGAGAGAGAGAACAAAGGGGAGTGTCCTGCCACAGAGGTAGGGTGGGATGGGGGGATGGGGGGTGGGAGGGATGCTGGGACCCATGGTGGTAGAGGATGGGCACTGATGGAAGGATGGGTACCCAATCATTGTATAACTGAAACCCAAGCACAAAAATTTGTAAGTCTACAACTGTACCTCATGTTGTTTCACAAATAAAAAATATAAATAAATAAATAAAAGAATTTTTAAAAAATATGTGATATGGAAGAGGATCCTCCAGGGAAGCTCTGGT